CAGCACATCAACACAACCAAAAAAAAAACAAAAAGAAAAAAAAAAACAGACCCATTACGTGAAGCCGAAGCGGACCAGTCTCAGTCCCTCCCCGCGTGAGGCAGACACAATAATAGAGCAAAAGAAAGAAAAAAAAGAAATTCATTACTTACTGTGGCTGCGATGCCTGGACACAGTCCAATCCACCCCAAGGTTAACAACGGAAAATCATTGTGTATCGAACGTGCCGTACCCATATCTTTATTCTTGATGTCCCTGCAGCAGTTTGTATATAATGAAAAAAAGAATTATTCCATAAAAATGAACACACAAGATACACAAGGTGTATCGGAAAAGCAAAAATAAGAAACACACAGCTGCACATAACGTGCAATGTAATTATAATGAAAAAACACAAGGGAAAAACAAAAGAATGAAGACAAACAAGAAAAAAGCCGTGATCACCATGTGAACGTGTCAACGAGGCAACCAACACAATTCACTGCAGTGTGTGTGTCTTTCGTACAGGACGAGCAGTGGGAATGATGCACACATGATGACAGTCCACACACACACAAAGAGAAGGAGGGTTGGTGGTGTGCGTGTTTGTGTGTCTTGAACCTCCTGCCATTCTTCACATTTCAGTCACAGTAATTACAATATATTATTGGGTTTGTATCCCATTCCCATGGGTGAATGCAATAGTTAGTAATATCACGGAACACACACACACACATCACCAGGTAGGCACAGTGAACGGCGGCACAGCAGTTCCCAGATAATAATGCGAACAAACAAAGAGGACACTCTCCTCACAAACTGATGGTTTGTCATGTGTTGAGTGTCATAGTAGCCCAATAGATTTGTCCACCATAAAATGCAAACAAGAGATTTATCGTGCTGCAAGAGAAAAAAGGAAACACCAAAATCCAAATAAAAAGAACAGTGCCCTTACAATACGCCCATGTCCACTCAAACAAAGGTTAACAATGCAGTTGTGCCATGGGAACACCGATCAGCACACGAGAGCGCCGCCCAGCACACACAGCAGAAGCAGCAGTAAGGGACCGTGCAGCAATGCAGGACTGTTGCTGTTGTCGTTTGACCCTAGAGCATCCAAAGGGATGGAACCGGTGGAAAGAGAACCGTATGACATTTTTTGTGATCTTATCTGCTCATTGGCCGTTGAGGCAGTAGGTATTTGATTTAGTTTCTGAGTATTCGTTTTTGTCTCTTGATTCTCTAAGCTTTCTTTGTTGCTGTTGTTCTCCGTTTTTACTTCTTTTCTATTAGTGTTTTTCTTGTTATTTTGTCTGACTTTCTCTCCCTGAACTAGTTGGCTTTTTGTAGTAAGGTACCTCGTGTTGTTTTCCCCCATATTGGTTCTAGTTATCTTGGATTCGATATTTTTTACTTTTTCCTTAATGGAAGACTGCATTGGTGGCTCATTTTCCCCAGTCTCGCTTGCTCTATTCGTCACTTTATTCTCACCATTCTCAGAATGAATTGATTTGAGTTCTTCCTTTTCCCTCACTTGTTGCGCTCTTACTTTTGGTTGTTCTTGCTGTACATGTGGTATCAACTTAGTTTCCAGTTTATTGCTTATCGTTTTACGCATGGCGTTTTCACCTCCTTTTGTTTCTTCCTTCAACTGAAGTTCTTTTGAGGTCACTGGTTCCATACTTCTTTGTAGCTGTTCTTCTGCTAAAGCTTTCTTTCCTTCTGCCACTACTGACCTTAACGCGTTAACCACCGTATCCAGACGTTGCACCGCTTTTATTGCTTCCTCACTCTGATTATCTGCCTCAACTGCCACCTCTTTGGTTGCTTTGGCAACCGACTCTAAATTCATTGCAGTTTGTACTGCTGTTTCTGCAGTAGAATATCCCAATCTTATTCTCTCATAAGACGAGAAGAAACCTGGTGATGTAGGAGAACTGACGTCCAATGAATTCGAGTATTCATCCACCAGTTTCTGAAGTTCAGCAGCCTTCTCCCTCAGCTTTCGCGCCGCATCTATCGAGTCAGTTGCTACTTTATGAGTCTTCGCAGCTTCGCTCCTCGCCTTCGCAGCTGCTGATGTGGCAGCATGCGAAGGCTTCATAATAATATCGTCACTCACATTATTCACGTACTTAATTGCTTCAGTAACATTCTTTAAATATCCTTCAATCTCATTCAAGAAGTCAACGCACTCTTTCACAGAATCCGCAGCACCTTTCACGGCTGCCCTACATTCTTTCTGCGCATTTTTTGCCGCATTAACAGTTTGCGATGCTTCCTTTGATAACGCCAACACGTTTGCAGTTAAGATATCAACCTTTGAATCAGTAGAAACGTTCTTTGGCGA